CGAGGGAGGGGGATGAAGATGTCTTGAAAAAAGCTCATATTTTACAGGGCCCCTCAATGCCCTTCCCCCCTCTAGAATTCGGAATCGAAGGAGTACAATCCGGAATTCTCTCTTATCATAGATACAATTTGCAGTTCCTCAAGATGTCTGATATACTCAAGTGCTACTCAGTTCTTCTTCTTAACAAAACTACCGATCTGCTGCTTCTTTCATCTCACTAGCGCCAGATGAAATGGCACCGTCTTTAAAACATTTTAAATTGGCTCTAGGGGTGGAATTATCAACAGGTTGTTGTTGTCCATCATTGAGCGTATTCGGAGTCTTGAACACGTTCATGTAGTGGCCAGGATTTCCTGGATCAGGGTAATGTGCTGGAACCTTACAGTATGTTGCCCCCACCCAACGTATCTCCCGGCATCTGTTGCAAATGTCTTTGCATGCCTGTCAAAAATGCATGCAAAAGTGCCAGTATGCTTCAATTTCTTTCATTTCCATCCCGTTTGTACGAAATATCCCATAAACATAGAACATATCATTCTTGCAAATTGTATATGCTTTTTTGCTTTTTGGCGCGTAAATTACTTCACAAACCTGGCGCAAAAAAAATTAAAATAAGCTATAGGTGATTTCATGTATCCATTTAGAAGAGCAGACTAAGGATATCTTAAAACTGAAATCGGTTTCGAATACAACCATCAGGGACGTAGCAAAGCATCTGACTTTTGGGGTGGGTGGGATGTCAGAGGATTATACGTGTAATAATTATAATAAAGCTTTTTGTGATTGATTGGCACTCTTATACTAAGTTTTGGGAGAAAAGGGGGGTCTGTCTGGGGTCCACCCCCAGAAAATTTTTACATTTTCGAAGCTCTAGGACTGAATTTCTGGCGTTTTCTAAAGCAAATTTCGCAAACAAATTGCATGTAAATTGACTGTATTTTACAAAAATGGTTATCATTTCACAAAAATAGTACTTTATTACGCAAATTTTACCTGAAACTGATGTAAGAATTTTAACTTTAATTTGCTTGGGTCAAACCTTTGAAAAGTTTAGAGCCCCCCTTCAGTATATCAAGAACTTTCAGAGCCCCCCCTTTAATGCCAGAAAATATTTCGGAGCCCCCCCTTAACATCTTCATCCCCCCCCTCGGCATAATAAATGTACTTTCCCTTATTACAAAGTTATTTTTCTCGATTTCTGCTTAGAATATAAACACAATGATGGAATGACTTTTTTACCAGACTTAGAATTAAAAAATAGTTTCTGTTTAGCATTAATTTGTTCAGGAAATGGCTGAGAAATTTGGTAAAATGAAATGTAAAACTATATCGTTCGAATTAATATAAAAGTTTTAATACACTTTTCAGTTTACAAGTTTTAAAAACACAAATAGTACAATACAGCGAAAGGACACCATACAGCACAATGAAAACACGACATAGTCAAAAGAAATAGTATCGTACAAATTGAGATATTTATAGGATACAAAACAAAATTGTTTTAAAAAGAATATCACGGCTTTTCCCAAAAGTCGGGATATTTTTTGCTATTTCAGATTTACGTTTGAAGCGAATGTTTTGGAGTTTTAAATAAGTTTTAAATTGTCCGTGAATATGTTTGACACAGTAATATAATACTAAATCCTACCTTTCAAGTTAAATACAACATTTTGTGCTTTTTTTCTTTTTCTGGGACGATTTTTTCAATATTTTGTCGATTTTGAAACCAAATTTGCCGAATTATTCTTTTTGAAAAGCATTATTTACTAGCCAACTAGCTAATCAGAACGCGCGAAAGCTCATTTGATATGCAAAATTTATACTAAAGCATTATATTTTATATAATAAAGTGGAATATACAATATATTGGAATACAATTAACAAGGACAAGTTAAAGGTTTGACTTTAATAAAGATGGACTTCAATGATGGATTCTTGCACTTCACTTGGTGGAATTAATGTTAGAATGTTAGGGTTTGTAATCCAAGTGAGAATATATACATTTTAAGACCTAACCAGGAACGACTGCGAAAAATGCAGCACAAGGTCCTCTGGTAGGAATTGAACCTACGGCCCTGCGAGCAACGAAAGTGTGCGGTGATCCGAACCATATTAATATACGCTGTGTATTTATGTACTTTAAAACATAATTGTTTCATATGAGAAACTAAGCATGCAGGAGTAAGAAACCGGCGCTGCATGATACAGACTTTATAGAACACGCAATCAGCTTTATATATCAAAGTTCAGAGGTCGGCTGTCGCAAAACGTTTGTTTATATATTTAAACCATTTAATGAGCCAATTTTACTCGAAACCTTAGTGGCTTACTTCTTCGCTGGTTGTTATACTTTAAAATAATTTTGTAGCTCATATTTTACCAAATTTCGCCTTCGTTCGAGCGCCAAAACGGATTCAAATGCTGAGTGTTAAGTGTCCAGATGACTCCAAATAGGAAACACATGGTAGACAGACATGTAACAGTAATCATGCTGCTACAAATCACAGACACGTAGTTCTTGATTCGCTCCATTTTCATCCACAAGTCGTCATATTTCAATGCGTGAATAAATAGAAATCATAAATTATAACCCCTCTTTACCGCCATATTGGATTGTCTCGCGACCAAGCCGTGATTTGTAATTACGTAATTTTTGGTAATACTGGTCGCTGATTGGCTAAGTTAACAGTGAACAGTCAACAGTGAACAGTCAACAGTGAACAGTCAACAGTGAACAGCTAACAAGTCGATAGCATATAATCTACTTCGTAGATTCAAAAATCCATACAAATTGCTTGCGGTTTACGATTTGTATTCTTGTCTATTGCGCCATAGCAGGTATGGTCAGTGTAAACGCTTTGAGCAGGCGTCTTGTATTACTCTTGAAACGGACTTGTATTTCATGAGAAATTCAAGACGATAGTTGAGCATTTATTTCCGTGCATTAAGACAACGATACTGTGCTGGTTTCCTATCTGTTTTGCTCATGAATTGTTTGGAAAGTAATTACGTACCATGAATGTGCAAGATGACTACTGTAAGTTTAGATAATTACGGGAACTCCTCCTACCTTAACAAGTTTATTCCTTGCCACGTTTAGAAGAGCGATGATGCAGCATTTGAACTTGACAACTTGCAGACTAAACCAATATTTCACACTGTATAATATATGCGCACTTCCGTGTATTGTTATTTTGCATGGACCAATCGTTTTGCGAGACGTTGCACAATCTCGCAGTATATAATGCAAAATTCTATTAATCCAAAACATTTTTATTTTCATCCCTCAAGTTTAGAGACAATCCTGGACAAACCAAATTCGTAGATTTTGCGAATTTTGAAACTTTGCCCCCCCCCCCCCCCAACTATAAATAAGTTATTCATATTGGGCGTAATAATAAAAGTTATAATATCAACACGAGAAAATATATTATTTCATACAATTTTACGGGGGCAACAATATTTACTACATCTGGCACCTTCGACGGGATAAAACGAGATATAGCTTGAAACACAGCAAAGATACGCTATCTTCGGTGATGGAGGCCCCTGAATCTAAGTTAAAAACCAAGTTATTACAACTGCAAATGACCGTGAGTAGAACTGAGAAAATACTTCAGACAGAGAGCCAACACCCTATAGCACGTCAACAAACGGCACTTGAGACAATAACAACCGAGATAGAATTACTGAAGGGAGAAGTCGAAGCGAAGAAAATTACAGACAAAGAAGATCCTGACGAGATAGAGAAATGGATTGGGGAAATTGAAGTACAGCTAGCGAAGGCAGACGACAAAGTTAAGCGACTACAACAATGGCAAGATCAAATCACAAGCGAAGGGAAACAACGCGAGCGAGAAGAACAATTACACCACGAACGCGAACTTTATGAGGCGAAAATAAAACTGAAATCTGAATTAAAACTTTCAAGTGAAAACGTCGGCGCCAAAGACGAGGTACAAGCGAAACTACCTAAGTTAACAATTACTAAGTTTAACGGGACATACCAAGATTGGACAAGATTTTGGAATCAGTTCAGTGAGACAATCGATAAAAGCGGAATTCCAAGCGTTACAAAATTCGCTTACTTACGCGAATTACTCGACACAAACGTAAGAAAGACGGTAGAAGCTCTACCGTTCACTGGTGAGGGCTATGTCAGAGCCAAAACTATACTAGAAGAGAAATATGGGAAAAAATGCGAAATTATAAAGGCATATACGAAGCAAATTCTCGAACTTCCGGTGATACCAAATGTAAACATTAAGAAAATTCACGAGTTTTATGACACTTTGATGTATGCCGTGCAGTCTTTGGAAACTATGGGATGTTTGCAGCAAGTTAATGGAAATGTGGCTTTAACACTCGAAAAATTACCGGGAATTCGTGGTGATCTTATAAGAACCGACCCGGATTGGGAAAGTTGGGATTTTGTCAAATTTGTCGAAGCCCTACATCTTTGGACGCGAAGAAATCCAATCGAACAGTCGAATGAAACCAGATCCCGGGATCGTGAGTACCGTCGGCCACCTCCCCCTGGAAAATTGTATCACGCACGTGACCAAGTCCAACAAAGGGGGTGCGTGTATTGCAAAGAAAAAAATCATAAATCAAGTGAGTGCTCAAAGGTGACAACTGTTTCGGAGCGGAGACAGATACTAGCAAAACACCGTCTATGTTTTAACTGCACTGGAGAAAACCACAGGGCTGCTGAGTGTCCAAGTAAGAGAAGTTGCCAACATTGCGATCGACGTCATCACACATCCATCTGTGACCGGACTGGGGAACCAGCAGGAAGTTCCAGGGGGGACGGTGGTAGTAAAAAACTTTACACCATAAACCAATCGAGTGAAGGTGTTTTTCTTGTTGTGAACGTGTGTGTAAACGGAATTTTATGCAGAGCTTTGATAGACTCTGGAACGGGAAGTTCCTACTCAGAATAAAAGTCTCAGTGGAGACTACTCTAGAATAAAAACTGAGACACCGCCTAGAGTTGGAAAGGACATGGAACCAGTTGCAGAGCTGACTCAACTAGGATGGTTCTTGATGTCACCAGGGAAAGAATTCGACAGGAAGACAATGTTGCTCACTCAAACAAATCAGTTGGACTACGAACAGTTGTGTCGCCTTGACGTTCTTGGTCTTGAAGATGCTCCCGAACACGATCAACGGATAGTTTACAACGAGTTCAAAGAACAGCTCACCAGAAACCCCGAAGGCTGGTATGAGACGGGATTGCCGTGGAGAGGGAATTTCCCAACATTACCAACGAATGAACAGGGAAGTCGACGCCGGCTCGAAAGCCTGGTTACTAAGTTGAAACGCGAGGGGCTGATGAGTGAGTACGATGCTATCATTAAAGATCAGAAACAGAGTGGAGTAGTTGAGCCAGCCGAGAGTCCAGCAAAGGGGATAGAGTTTTACCTACCCCATAAACCGGTAGTAAGAGAAACGGCGAAAACTACGAAAGTGCGAATTGTGTACGATGCGTCGGCCAAAGAGACACGTGACAGTCCGTCACTGAACGACTGCTTGTACGCAGGCCCTCCACTCCAAAATAAGCTATGGGATGTACTTGTCCATCAGCGTGGTTATCCGGTCGTGGTGTCGGGGGACATTCAAAAGGCGTTTCTGCAGGTGAGAGTCAGAGAGAACGAACGCGATGCCCTGAGATTCTACTGGCGAAGTGAAGAAGATTCGCAGTTAGAAACGTTGCGATTTACGAGAGTGTTATTTGGGTTGGCACCCTCCCCATTTCTCCTCGCTGGAGTGATCGAGCAGCATCTCAACTCATGGGAAGAAAGGTACCCTAATATCGTCGCAGAATTACGCAAAAGTTTGTATGTAGATGATTTGCTCACCGGTGGGCAAACCATTCCACAAGCAGAAGATCGAAAGGAGAAAACGGTTGAAATCTTCGAAGACGCCTCATTCAAATTACATAAATGGAACTCAAACGTAAGTGAACTTGAAGTGAACGGTGAACCTTCAGCGGGAAACGACGAAGAAACATACGCCAAACAGCAGTTAGGTGGTGATTCAACTGACACAACAATGCTCGGGTTAAAGTGGAACAAATCGTCGGACACTCTAACTGTATCTTTTCCAACCGTTGACAGTATTTCTACCACAACCAAACGCACAATCCTTAGTAAGTTAGCAAAAGTCTATGACCCCCTAGGTGTGGTCTCACCCATCACTTTGGAAGGAAAAATAATCTTTCGGGACGTGTGCAAGACTAAAGTACCATGGGATGCTGATATTCAAGAACCGTTAAGCCGTCGCTGGAACGAATGGGAAAAGTCTCTGCCAAAAGAAGAAACCATACCACGTCCAATAGTGAAATACCGAGAGCCAGTTTTAAATGTAGAACTCCACACCTTTGGTGATGCCTCGACGAAGGGTGTCGGAGCAGTGGTATACTCCGTAGTGCGACAAAAATCTGGGAATACACAACAATTAGTAACGGCCAAATCTAGATTGGCCAAAGAAGGATTGACAATTCCCCGTCTGGAGTTGATATCCGCGCACATGGCGATCAATCTAGTGAAGAATGTCCAAAACGCGCTACAAACCCTTCCCGAACCAACAATCTATGGGTGGTTAGATAGCACCGTCGCTCTCCATTGGATTCGTGGAGAAGGACAATACCGCCAGTTTGTCGCCAATCGAGTGTCCAAGATCAATCAACACCCAGAAATAAGTTGGAGACACGTACCCACGAAAGACAACCCGGCAGACATAGCCAGTCGAGGAGGACGTTTGTCCAATAAATCTTTGCGGTGGAACGGTCCAGAATGGTTGGACGATCCAGAGAAATGGCCAGACAACCTTGAAACGCAACCATCCACAGCTACTGAAGTTGAAGCCAAAGTGGTTCGAGAGGTTCTTTGTGCAACACAAGCCCAGCGAGTAGCTGACGAATTTGATCAATTGTTGGAAAAGCACAACCTTCATCGTACACTACGAGTATGTGCCTGGATCCTGAGATTCACAAGCAACTGCAGAACCAAAGAGAGTCAACGGGGTGCTCTGACAACTCAAGAGATTGAAAACGCTCGTCTGTGGTGGATCAAGCGAGTCCAACGAGAGAGTGACATTGAGAAAGATCGCGAACAACTTAACCTACGAGAAAATGACCAAGAGGTACTTCTATGTCATGGTCGCATACAAGGAGAAAACCCAGTTTACTTACCGAACATTAGCACATTCACGGAGAAATTAGTACAAGAAGCGCACTTGCGCACTCTCCACGGGGGAGTCGGATTAACAATGACACAGATTCGAAAGAGATATTGGATACCCAAGTTGAGAAGTTTGGCTAAACGACAAGTCAAAACTTGTTGTGGCTGTCGCAGATTTCAAGCAACTGCTGTGGTCAAACCGCCACCTGGAATGTTACTAAAAGAACTCTACGAAGGGAAAGATGGTCTCGTAAGAGCAGTAAAGCTACGTGCGGGGAAAAGGTTCATGGAACGACCAGTGCAACATCTTTATCCATTAGAGTTAAGTTGTGACATTGGAACCAGACAGACAACCAAGACGACCACCGAGTTGAATGCAGAGGCCACCGAGTTCAGGCCGAAAAGAGACGCAGCTGTTGCAGCGAGGCTTCGCAACCAGATGATCGTTGATGATTGAAACGTTAAAGGAACATTTAATCGTATATAGTTGAGTTGACATTGAAAAGTTAAAGAAACAATAGTCATATAGAATCAGTCTACTGTTAGACATATATCTCCTAAAGAGATATATGGGGGGAGTGTGTCGTAGACTGACGTCACGCGATAATAATAACTTTAGTTAAGAACTGTCAATCAAACAAAATAACAAAGCGAAACAGTGAGCGAGACGAGACATGGCGAGACGCGTATACGGTTTTAAATAGATTCTACTTGAGATTTTGTAAAACATTATTATTGAGAAAACGAACAGTGAAGGGACGAGAGACGAGAAGTTATACGAACGGTTAAACCATAAATAAGTATTCATATTGGCGTAATAATAAAAGTTATAATATCAACACGAGAGAATATATTATTTCATACAATTTTACGGGGGCAACAATATTTACTACGGTATCTTTCGCCTTGTCCCAAGGAAGACCGAGAATTTTGCTTTCGTTTGCCTTGACTCCAAGTTGTTGCTTAGCATAGGTACTTTCATCCGACTGTGCATTTACTTCCTTTGGTTGTAACTCATCTTCATTGGAATTCCACTTGTGGAGGGTGAATTTGGCATCTTCAAAAATTTCAATTGCACCGTCTCTTAATTCTTTCGCTTTCCCAACAGTAGTGGAACCCGAGATAAGGTCGTCAACATAAAGACTCTTCTTGATTTCAGCAACAGTATCAGGTTTTCTATCTTCCCACGATTGTAGATGGTACTCGATCACCCCTCCCAGCAAGAAGGGTGATGGCGCCAACCAGAACAAGGCTCGAGTAAATCTGAGGGTTTGTATCTCAGCTTGACTGTTGGGCTTCCAATGGAACCGCAGTGCATCACGGTCTTCTACTTTGATTCTGACTTGCAGAAAGGCTTTCTGCAAGTCACCACTGACAGCAACCGGATGAAATCTACCGCGGACCAAAACACTCCATAGCTTGTTCTGCAATGACGGGCCGGTATGAAGACAGTCATTAAGTGATGGTGCTTCTGCGCTTTCTTTGGCTGATGCATCATATACGATTCTTAATTTAGTGCTGTCAGCGTTCTCTCGAATCACCGGTTTGTGCGGGATATAAAACTCATGTCCGTTAGGTTTTTCTGAAGCACTCTGTACAATGTCCTCTTGAAGCTGTTCTTGAATAATCTGATCATATTTCTCGGTAATGGAAGAGCGATTCAGTTTTCGCATTAGTGATTCTAACCGTCGAACACTACCCTGCTTGTTACTTGGTAAAGGGGGATGGTTACCCTTCCAGGGTAACCCAGTCTCGTACCATCCTGCAGGGTCACGTCTCAGTTGCTCTTTGAATTCTGCGTAAACAATGTCCTGGTCATTCTCTGGAAGATCTTCTAAACCAAGCACATCCAACCGACAGAGGTATTCATAATCAGCAGTGGAGGTCTGTGTTAGCAACATCTTGTTTGAATCACTTTCAACTCCGGGTGACATCATAGTCCAGCCGAATGATGTTTTCTCTGCAACTGGATCTCCAGGTGAACCGACTCTTTGCGCACATTTTGTTTTGATACGGGCATAGTCACAAGCTCCCAACACGACATGTATTGGAAGTTGATCCTTTTGGTCATCGTCAATCATCTTCACTCCACCAAGATGGGGATATTTCTTGATTAGACTGTCATAGTGAGGGTTAGGAAATTCCATCAAACAAGGTTTTTCCACTTTAGTCAGCTTAGTTTCCAAGTTAAAGTTGCTTTCAGTACTGCTAATGTTCACATTAAAGATTTCCACTCGACGAGTTGCTGATCCCATTAGCATTTCAACTCTTGTAACTTTCGACTCACTAGGTTTCTTGTTTAACTGTTCGACTAACTTCGCAGATGCGTATGAGCTTCCGGAACCGGTGTCAAGCAGTGCCCTACACTTGGTACCGTCGACTTCGACAAGAACTACTGGGTAAATTACTTTGTGATCGCTGGGGTGGTATGCTGCGGTCAAAATGGTTTTGGCTAGTTCACATATTGAGGTGTGGTGACGTCGGTTACAGTTCTGGCAGGTTTGCTTACTCCTACACTCAGATGCCCTATGACTACCACCCGTGCAGTTAAAACACAGTTTTTTGTCCGATAAAATCTTTCGTCGAGCTTCACAGGTGGTCACCGAGTCACAAGCAATGGACTTGTGATTTTTAGAGTCGCAATATACACACGCTCGAGATTTCTGATCTACTTGACGGGTCTGATAAGCCCTTGATGCATCTTTCCTTTCGTTGCTTGTCTTTGCTTCAATAGGGTTTCTTTCAGTCCAAGCGAACAG